AGCAAAGCAGTCAGCATGGAGTAAACCCCCTTACTGTTATTATAGTATTACTATGCATCATATTGGTAATACTGGTGGCTATACTTTGCTTAATGCTAACTCAAATGTATGCAAATAATGCTAATGCTTCAACTGGAGCTACTGCTAACACAAATAACTGTCCTGACTTTGATGAATGGGCTAACGGTGTTGTCTCTAAAGTTAACCAGAGCCTTCCTGACTTTGATGAATGGGCTAACGGTGTTGTCTCTAAAGTTAACAGCAATGTAACACAAAACCTTCCTGACTTTAATGAATGGGCTAATGGTGTTGTCTCTAAAGTTAACAGCAATGTGACACAGAGCCTTCCTGACTTCAATCAATGGGCTAATGGTGTTGTCTCTAAAGTTAACCAGAGCCTTCCTGACTTTGATGAATGGGCTAACGGTGTTGTCTCTAAAGTTAACAGCAATGTAACACAAAACCTTCCTGACTTTAATGAATGGGCTAATGGTGTTGTCTCTAAAGTTAACAGCAATGTGACACAGAGCCTTCCTGACTTCAATCAATGGGCTAATGGTGTTGTCTCTAATGTTAACCAGAGCCTTCCTGACTTCAGTGAATGGGCTAATGGTGTTGTCTCTAAAGTTAACAGCAATGTAACACAGAGCCTTCCTGACTTCAATGAGTGGGCTAATGGTGTGGCACAGAATACCTTTCAATTACTTCAGAGCTCTCCCAACTTCACTGCACTTGATAAACAAATTTTACAAACTATGAGAAAATCTGCACAAAAGCTAATAAACATTGTCAATACTCTCTCTAATCTACAAGACACCAGTACCTCTACTGCTGGAGTGGTTGATGATATACTACTAATAGCACAAGAACTATTAGTACTACACAATGACTCAACTACTTTGCCTACCTCTTGTATGCAATTGAAAAGCCAATACCCAAGCAGTCCATCAGGCTATTATGTACTATCAACTAATGGATTGACTACTTATACTGCTTACTGTAATATGGGGTTGCTGTGTGGTTCAGGAGGAGGGTGGACAAGACTAGCATATCTGGATATGACTGATGCTACACAGAACTGTCCTTCTGGGTTTGGTCTATACCAGTCAGGAGGAGTTAGAGCTTGTGGTAAACAAACACGACAACGTGGTTGTGTATCAGTTCAGTTCCCATCTCATGACATCAGTTATTCTCAGGTGTGTGGTAGAGTTACTGGATATACATATGGTTCTATTGATGCTCTTGGCAGTGCCCTGGATTTCGATGGTGTTATTATCACTCAAGGACCTTCACGTCAAAAAGTCTGGTCACTAATTGCTGGTCACAGTGAAATAGGCAATTCATGTCCTTGTAATAATGGTAGCTCTGTATCTGTGCCAGCTTCTATTGGTAATAACTACTTCTGTGAATCAGGTGTTCCTAATAGTAGTCCATCACAAATTCTATACACATCTGATCCACTATGGGATGGTCAAGGTTGTGGTTCTGATGAAACGGATTGTTGTAATGTTCCTGGTATCCCATGGTTTCACAGAGACTATGGTAGCACTGCCACTACTGACTACATTGAGTTGAGGGTGTGTGCTGATTATAGTGATGAAGACAGTCCTGTTAGTTACTATGAGATTTATGTTAAGTAGCGAAGTGTGTGTGTGTATGACTCTTAGTATAGAGTAGAGTGACAATTACATTGTACTAATATTTTTTTCTTATATTATCTTACTACTTTACATGTTATTTTCTTTATCATTATTTGTTGAAACTTTATTTCATGTGACATTATAGTAGAAGTACATAAAGAATAAAGAAAGATTGAGTAGTAGTCTAGATCAAATTCTTTAAAAAAGTAATTGAAACAAGGGCAAGCAGGATTCTAAACGACTGAGTATATCCATACCAATGAAAATCTAAAATAAAATTCTACTCTCACAAGGCAAATTCTACTCTACATTGCATTTTCAATGTTATTACATAAGTAATTATGGACACCTTGCAATGTAACATAGCATTTACGGCACGAGAATGAGGTTTTCATTTTAAGTATTTTATAAAGGACACAAATAGCTTATTGTGACAATTGTTTTAATTTTTAAATCTTAACTGCTGGTATTCTTTAAAGGGAGGCTTGCACGTGAAAATGAAAATTGAGATTATTGCTTATTTTCAATGTAAACTACCCAAATAAGACTATTCCTAGTTGCATTCTTGCAATGCACTTGCTTTTGGAAAGTTAGAGCTTGCTAAAGTTGCTGGTGGCCATTGCTTCCTGTTAGGGGGCGCGGTCATTGATGACATCACAAGGGGAACCAACATGCATGAGCAACTGCAATGCTTTACATGCAGAAATAAAGATAAAATAACTTGACAAAAAGATGGATTATTCAGTGACAGTTAAGTTGTGGGTGCTCTGATACTTATAAAGACAAGGTAAGCA